TTCCACGTCGCGAGTTTTATCTTTCGCATCGCGCATGGTACTTTTACACGCTTACGGTGTTACGGCGCGGTATTACGAAAATGACAAATGGGACAGAAATAGCGGCGGCAGGTGTGTATATTATTCGACGCCAGGTCAAAAAACGCGACACAGGAAAACGAGGCGATTCATAGACCGTGAAAAAAGGCGAGGCGTGTAAACGGGGACATTGTCGAAAAGCGCCAACGTCTGGCGGAGAGCGATTCTACGAAGCGCATTTTCTAGGATGGATCAATATATATGGTAATGCGGTCGGTTATACAGGTACATCAGCGGAACCGACTTAACGTGCATGTGCGTCCGCAACTGTATTATGTATGCGCGCGGTACATGACCTCTTCCACACGTATAATAAACATGTTACCGTCGCGATCTACGAAATATTTATACGCGCGTAGTGCCGCGCGCCGCAGACACTAACACGCGTATCTATCTACGTGTATTAATGTCGCTTCAATTAAGATAAGAGATATTAGTTGCCATACTGTTAGTAAATTCTTGTTCGCGCAACGAGATGCTGACCATGACGAAGCGAAAGCAGGAATACCACTGGCAGCGGTCTAATAGCAACCGTCCAATAAAGTCACAAGATTAAATAAAACTTACTTTAAAGATAGCAATTCTTTACGATAAATTATTTTAATGCATTGTGCGGGCTGAAATTAGCGCAGAAATGTACTCTTTAGCGACGAATTAAAAGAAGATTTAGTCGCGTGGAATTTTCACGATGCGCAATCGGGACCACAGGCAATTAGTAACCGGGTTACTGCAGCATCTTCGACCACCAGGGAAATCTACTTCAAGCAGCGCCGTAATCGACGAACTTATAAAGTTAAGAATGCTTAGAAAGATCTTAAGGGACTTACAACTCCCTGAACCATTCAATGCGTTTAATTTTTCTCTTTTGAAAATTGCGCAAAAAAAGTACGCGAAATCATAACAAATTACAAACCCTTATTTCCAGCGAAAACTTTTATAAAATAAATAAATTCGCGAACCTGCTTTCATTTAGTTAATTACTTGCAGCTTCAATCACATCCATCTAAATGAAATTAGCATTCCGTTTTTTTACATTCCAATTTACTTAAAAGATAATTCTAGCTTTTGCTTTTAAGAGAAAAGTTGTAATTACACTTTAAGATTTTTCTTTTAATCTATCAGGAAATTTGGAATTCTTCGACAAGTAGCTAAAATTATCGATTGTGTCCCAATTTTGAAGATAAAGTACTCATAAACTGACAACGCGATAATCTTTAAATTCATTTCGCGAGTGTAATATTGATATAAAATGTAATTAGAAGCTCATTCCGACAACATCGATAAAATCATATGTATATATAAGTAAATTATATGCAGCGCATATGCGGGGTCATTTCGGTTTTCAAAGTGCAGAGAGTTAATTAGCCCGTTCGTGTTTGTCTCGTGTCAGGTGAAGAGTCTCTGACCAAGATACCAGGTGCGCGGTTTTTTTTATTTGTTCATACCGGCGTATAATAATGATCACGTCCGTTGAACAGTCGAGCAGCAGTCGATTAATTTCGACCTTAGGAGACGAGATTTCCCGGATATGTGCTATGCGCGCCGATGCGCCCGTAATGAGCTATAAAAAAGACATAAATGTCTTTGGCGCAAAATAGTAAATGTAGCTTGTTTCAATGACTAATAAAATATCAGCAACATTTATGGATTTTTTTGACAATGAGCAATATATATTACAATAATATATGTAAAAGTATACAAAATAAGTAATAAAATTTAATAGATTGTATATATAAAGATGTTAAGATATCTTTCAATGTTCTTTCAAAATCATTCCTAATAACTTTTTGATGTAAAAAATTTGTTTCATAGAAAGTTTCAATCAATCAATAAAAATAAGTGTGACATATTATAGCTATGCTAAATTTTACGCAAGCTTGAAACTGACACTTGAGAATATTCTTTTAGACTGGAGAATGAAATTTGAAACGCCTCGACGCATTCATAGGTACGAGATGCGCGAATGCTACTTTTGGATTCGCGATGTTACGAAAATAAATCTATCCTTCTTGCATTCGCATGCGGCAGCTTTCCTGGTAAGCCTTTGTGGTGTTAATGACGAACACGAGGAGAAATTGCACCGAGACATCTTTACGATCGAAGCCTGGGGCGGAAGATCAACGACACGAGGCGAGCGACGAACATGGACGCGCCACACATTATGAGATTTAATTAAGGAGCAATGCCCGATGTATTTATCAATCCTTCTCTTAGCAGCAAGACAATCTATTTAAGAAAATTCGTTCTGCGCGCTCACGTTGCGAGCGAAACACGTCAGTTTGATGCGAAACGACAGCGTGAAGCTGAAATGATCGATTCAGATGCTTGAACACGTCTTTCGGGACATTTATTCGCTCTTTTTGACGCGATGATCGTATCGCTTCTCGAAGCATTGATATTATTTATAAATTGCAAGTACGATATTGATGATCCTTAATAAAATGTAACGACGCTGCAATGTATTTTTCAGACAGTCTGCCGGAGAAACGCTAACGAGTTCAAACGTTCACATATTTTTACGGTCGCGAGAGAAGCAACCCGGTTGCCGCTTTACATAACGATTTATGGACCGATATACCTATCGATTTACATGCGCGGAATCCGCTCTTCGGATGCACGCGCTCGCGTTGAACTTGTTAGTTCGCGGCTCGCGAGCAAAAAGGTGAATTGCGCGGCGAGAACCCTTCACTCGCGCGCGAGTCGTGAAATTTACGACGGCGGCGTTCGCGCTAAATCAAAAACAGAATTTTTGCCGCAACCGACTCGGCTGCGGGAGCAAAGTACAGGTTGCGGCCCGGTCCTTCTCCGGTGGTGATTACGATGAAGAAAGAGGAAGTGAATGTCGCGGAGGAGGGCCGCGTTTCCCCGATTGCCGGCGCGCCAGGAAGGCGCGCATACCTCTTGTGCAGGTATTACGTAACTATAAATTTTAATTGAATCCGCGCCGCGCGGCTCTCCTCCCTCGACGATCATCTTCTGGCAATAAACGTAACGCGGGATGCATACCTACGCGAGGGAGGCGTAAGGCAGGCAGAGAAAGGAAAGAAGGGATTAACAACTAGTTTTCACTCACCATGTAGCTGCGCGAGCGACTGCAGTGTGTTGGCGGCGTTGCAGTTTATGAATCCTGAAACAGAAAAAGTTAAAAAATAGTTATTATTTTAATATCGGGCTATCAAAGCCACGGAAAAGGGCAATTACTATTTTCGAAGCCATTTTTTTAATTCAAATGTGTGTAAACTATCGATATTACAGCAAGAGAGCTCAAAATACTGTGTTTATTTTTATTTTAAAATCGATATTTATCTGCGCGGACTGCGCTCTGCGGTGGTGAAAGCAATTGTAAATGAAAATTTGCTGCAAACTGATTAATTAATTTCCCGCTTGCGCGCAGAAATTCACGCGTGTGTTCGTACAAAATAACATGACAATTTATTCTCGATCAGAAATTGCAAGGTATAGCGTTATAAACGGAGTTGTAATTGCGTATATTCGCGTATACAATTTGCAGTAATTAAGCCGCGAGATGACATATACGGCGCCTCTCTCTCTCTCTCTCTGAAAACTTGTCAGAATTGATTAATTAATTTCTCCTGTTATCGTGCATATCATTATTGCGGAAACAAAAAGTGGCTTGATTAAATCGATATTTTTTCGGCTCGCGTATCGAAACCTTAAACGCATCGTGCCATCGCTTGGCGCAATTTCGGAAAAATCAGCATGTAACCCGAAGACGTGTGTTTATAATCAAATTCATCATCGGGTGAAAAATCTCCGCGAGACATATGGCCGTCTCTAAACAATGTCGTATGAAGTTTCACGCGCGTACTCGCGCACGTGTTCGCGAACTCAACACCGGTACGTACGTATATACGCCTCGTCGAACATTTCCCATGGCATAAGATAACCTCTGAACTTAAGGCCCTCTCGGTCGGACCGGTCGGGCCCCAACCCGCCTGAGCACGCTTGTTCGTTCGCGCCCATTGGTGAAACATTATGATTTAGGAACGTCGAAACTCGCGTCGTGACGTCGTGTTTCCATCTTCCGCTTTCTTCGTCGGCGCCGCGCTTCCTTCATTTTCTTCGCTTTTATTTCTTAATTAATTAAATTTGTTGCTTTTCCTATATTTTTTTTTATTTCTTCAGTCAAGAGTGCAATGTCAACGAACGGCGACTTTCGCGCTAATTAGTGAGAACTCATTTGGTTTGCGGAGGAGCCACGTGTAAGACTGGTATCGATAGACTTGTGTAACGACTTTGTCAGACATGCTAATAGCTTGTCGAATCGAGAATTTTTCGAGCCTATATAATCGCTTCTACGCGATCCCTGAAGCTTCTTATAGATCCGAAAAACATGTCCGGGATTCATACGCGTGTAACATTGATTTGAGGCTAATATTATGCGCTTTAACAAAAACAAGACTGATAGAAAGTGCTAGTTTTCATGGAGAATTTCTGTGCGTCGAGAGATCGTCAAATATAACGGAAAGGGATTTACGGAGTTGTTTAACATAATTTTCTACAAGACAGCCGATGTACGTCCGACGTGAAATATCGGGCTGAGAATTTTGACGAGGAAGGTACAGTTCCTGTTTGTGCGGCTCATATGCGATAAGATTAGTGTAATCTGTGGGATTCCTCACGTATGCGAAATGTCTCATGAGAGCGTAACAACCGCAGATTAGACGTACTGCTAGTGGGCAATATATAATCGTGATAAATGGAAATTGGTAATGCATGCTCTCGGTACGCTCCACTTGACAATCTGTGCATGCAGCACTATCGCGCCCTCCATCCTAATCATCTCCTGACCAGTGTAAATAAGAGCGAATCAGCGTTACGGTAAAGACCGCGCTGTATTATCCCGTCTTTGAAAATCTGGTCACACACACGCAACGTTTCGTATACACATAACCTTTTCTGCAATTACCGCCTTGTTAAAATAGGTATATTTGTGATTGCTCAATTGGAGCGCCGGGGGCTCAGCATAGCAAACCGGTTGGCCGATTTCCTGATTAGAGCAATTCCGGCAACACACGTTACGTTTTTCGAGATCAATGCACCTTGAAAATTGACTCGTCAAGTCAAGTTAACGGAAGACACTAATTATTCCTCCGATATCACCGAATAAAATCATCAATTTGAATAATATCTTCAAGAAGTAATTTGAAAACCTTTTGACAAATGTTGACTGTTGTCGTTACAACATTTGTTTCTCAAACGTTTTATTACTTATTTAACTGTCTTCTTCAGCGTTAAAAGGAGAAAGTATGATATTTACTTAAACGACTCAGAGATATATGTTGTTTATCTGTCAGATAAGTAATCTTTTCTGTCACATTTGACGGATGGGCCACATAGAGCCTTTACCATGAATCAATATTTGAATATTTTTATTTCAATTTTTAAGAAAGTTATTATTAATGCTAAAACGTCTGTAAAAATAAATAAATTATCTAACAACAAAGATTAACGTTCGCTAAAATTATTCTATCGCATTCTAAGGTTGATGTTAAGTAGAACTCAACACGAGCCACAGTGTCGTAATCGATCTTAATTCGAATTCTAGAGCTGTCCTCGGATCTGCGCCTCGCGCTATGACAAGTATATTGCACCGGCGCGTGCTCGGCGGTGTTTTCTTCTGCAGGCCATAGCACATCGTGACTAATTTTCTACACCGTTACAATAATAGCAAGCGCAAACGTAAAAACATTTTCCGTGCTGCCGGTCGACGAACTTACGCATGGCAAAGTAGCGATATCATTTCACGTCGCGTGCGCATACGCGTAACTTTCCGAGAAAGAATTTTTAATAAGAATATCAAGATGTCAAACATTTTTCATATGCAAATTATCGCTAAGTTTCTCTTAATTCCAAGCTGATTCCAAGCAAAGCAAAATCTTAATTCAATACTTTAATAATATTTAAATATAAAATTGCAAAAAAATTTTTCTTGAAGGAAAAATCGATTTCTACCATATCAGCTATCAAAGATATTGGTCAACATTCAAGTATCGATAATAAATATTGATTGTCTGAGAGCCGTGTTTAATAAAAACGTCTGTCAACGATCGCATGCTAGAAAACGGGGGAGCGAAAGAGCGCAGGGCATGCGAAAGTTTCGTTTTCACATTTTGCGAAATCGCATCGCGTTTATGGCGATCTTTAAAGGTTGATTCATCGGCGAAGAAGAAGAGACCCGCCTATCGTTCTTGCGCCGACAATAACATTATCCCTTGTCAATTTGTCTCATGGATTTTACTTTCACGGTGCATCTATTCGCGTATCGATCGCTATTATTGGCGATCGAGCGAGCACGTGCGCTAAACGCATTTATGCGGTATTAAGAAAAAACTGATGAAAAATTAAAATGAAGTCTTAACCGCTGTGAAATTATAATACAAAGAACCGTCAAATATGAAGATTTTACATTTTTAGTACATTTGTTATTCATATTTTGTATTTCCTTTCACCATTTAGCTAATCTAACTTGCGTGACTTCATTACGTTTAATCGTGTATTTTATTTTCGGATAATGCAAATATTTTATTTCAAAAACGCTCTATGACATGATTATGATATAACAAACTCTTTAGAATCATAAATTTGAATTGTAAAGAAACTAATTGTTAATCCGCAATTAGCGACTCTGGTGTCTTAAAATATACTTAATTACGAAATCTCCCAAGAACCCGGCTGACGAGCGGTGGCGTGGACGAGTGTAGCCATGCGAAAAGGAAACCAACGATATTCTCGTGTATGGCAAGCGTTCGGCTACCTTCAGTTATATCGTCGCTCGTGCGATAGCAGCAACTTTATCTCACCGCGGCGGTTCACTTGTAATTCTTACGTTCGCACGTTTCACACACTCGTATTGCACGTGCACGAAAATAGGAATGCTCGTGATATTCAAAATCTTTGATCTTATTTTTTATATTAATTAAGCAATGATTTTAGTGTCACGTGTAAAAACAGCGCGTTCAACATCGCAAAATAAAAGAGTCCATTATTTTTCATAATAACAGCTGTGTGTTTTTTAACAGAAATATCACATTATGAAAACAACAATGATGCCACGACCGCGCGGCGTGGCATTCTTCCGCGAATGGCTCTTTCGACGGTAGAAAATAAGTCGTGCGTTGATCGCAAACAATATTCTATCGCCGCCCGAGCTCGTAACAAGCCCGACCTGTCCCTCTCACATTGGAAATAGGTACTGCGAGAATGAAAAAAATAAAAAGAATACGAGAGCGTAGCTTTCTCCCGAATGTGACGCTCTGAAATAAAGTATGTGAAATCTAATAGACTCGATCATATACTTTAATTCGACGCGACATCATGATTGCGCCCACATGTAATACTTTAAGTGTGTTCGATTACTCGTTTTATTGCGAGGAATTTGCTGTGGCTGCGCGGAATACGATTTTTAAATTTATATAAATTAATTATCTATTGCCTTCGGCAAATATTTTAGCAAAGCGAGATTGAAAATAGAAGATCATTTGAAATATTCCAAAAATCTCAATTTTTTTTTTTAAATATTATCAGTATATTATAATAAATATATATCATGCCGAAAAATTTATTGTCCTTAATATTTAAAAGATATTTCAGAAATGTCTGGATATCGCAAGAAAAATCTCTGCGGGATATCCTGAGAATATTTCAAGTGTATAAATAAAAAAGTATACCATGTGTGTGTCTCTGTAGTTAATATTATCCTCTTAAAGATATCCTTAAGATATCACGTGTCTACGTGAGATAAGGGATGATTTCCCAGCAAGATATCTTGAAATCCCGTATTTCCTCTCGCTGGGGGGGAAGCTCGCAATTCTAGCCAAAAAGTGATATTGAGGCTTTCCTCGCAGTATCTTTTTGTACTGACTTTCTTTATAACTTTCTAACTTTCGTAATGGGAATAAGGCAACATGTATAATGTATTCTCTAAGTAAAATATCTTTTAATAAAATGTTATCGTCATCACCAAGACTTATCGCGCTTGTGAATAGGCCCTTATTTGCTTTCCTCAATTACGAAATGCGGAACTAATCAATCGTATTCATATTATAATCAATACTTCATGTAAGTTCCACATGTGTATCTAACAAGAAATCACTTCCCGGAAAT